ACCACCACCATTTTAGTTAGCAGCAGAGCACTTTAACCACTGTGCCACAGGGCTCCTTTAGTACTTTAAGGAGTTTGTAATCAGCTACTTTCATCAATAGTCTCATAACCTTCTCCCACAGCAGTCCTAAAGTGGGTTTCATCCCAAGCACATCATTAGGAAAGCGGCTGTAATGACTACTTACCTGCCCCCAACTCAGTTCCAGGAGCACTCTGCTCACACTATTCAAAATAACATGCCCACCTGAGAGCGGCTCCACATCGCTGGCAAAGAGCTTTCCAGCACACAATCTCATTTCATCCTCAGCCACCGTGGAACTGAGAATTCGTGTCCCAGAGGAAGAACTTGAAGCTGGGTGAGAACTGCCTTCCACGACCTGGTACAGCCACAGAATAGCAAGCGGGGCTTGAAGCCCCATCTCCTGACGGTGGCAGGGCAGGCTGTCTCCAAGGCATGGGAACCTGTGCAGGGCTCTTTTGGTATCTGGGGGGTAATTCCACACAGGGCAAAGGCATACTTTGGGTTCACACGGACGTGACATTGAATCCCACGTGTCCCTCTTTCTAGCAATGAGCTCTTGAGCAAAATTTACATTGTTCTCACTTGTATGAAACAGGTAAATGCATGGAGACCAAAGTTTATTAGTGGTTACCAGGAGTGCGAGGGAGGGGGAAAGGAGAGTCCCTGCTTACGGGGCACTGGGTTTCTGTCAATGGTGGTGGAATAATTGGAAAAGTATAGTGGTGATGGTTGCACAGCATGATGAACATAATCAATGTCACTGAATTGTGCATATGAGAACTGTTGCATTGACAACTGTTTTGTTACATATATTTTTTAACCACCATAAAAAAAGTGCAAAAGCAAAAAACAAACAAACAAAAAAACCATTGTTCTCATCTGTAATATAGGACAATAAAAGTTCCTTCCTGAAAGGGCTGCTGGAGGCATAAAAGATAGATCATTTATTTAACACAGCTGTTGTTGTTAGTTACCATCGAGTTGATTCTGACTCATGCTGACCCCGTGTGCGCAAAGTAGACCTGCTCCATAGAGTTTTCAAGGCTGTGATTTTTCAGAAGCAAAAGGTCTGTCTTCTGAGGCACTTCTAGATGGGTTCGAACTGCCAACCTTTTGGCTAGTAGTAGAACGCTTAACTGTTTGTGCCACCCAAACGAAACAAAACAAAAACCCAGACTCATTGCTGTCAAGTCAGTTCTGTCTCATTGTGACCTGGAGCTGCTCCATAGGGTTTCCAAGGCTGAAATCTTTACAGAAGCAGACTGCTACATCTTTTTCCTGCGGAGCAGCTGTTGGGTTCAAACTGCCTACCTTGTGGTTAGCAGCCGAGCTCTTTAACCACTGTGCCACCCAGGCACTCCTGTTTAAGCACAATACAGAGGCTGTTGTTATAAGACCCATCCTCAAAAGGTGCAGCATTCTGAAAAGTCTCCCTGTGTCCTCCCCACCTGCTACCTCAGCTGGGTTGGTATGTGTTCAAAAGCTCCCATCTTCCTTGTCCGATGGACAAAGCCACCGCCTGTCCTGTGTCTGTGCTCTCCTAAGTGGGCCACCACTCCTCGGTGCCTGGCTCAGCTCCTGGAGGGAGCTAACCATGGCATTAAGTCCAGATCAATCCCCACTGCAGGGCCATTTTGAGGATTAACTAATCCATCACATAGAGACCTTTGAAAAGTGTCAGTATGACCGAGGCTCTTGTCAGAAGGACGGCAAATTGAGTTCCCCAGCTTCCCTCGGTTCCAAGACGCTCTGGCTGAGCTCTGCAGCTGGGCCAGCTCTCATGGGGGCTTAATTGCAGAGTGTGCAGGTTGCACTGAGCTCGCCAGCCAGCTGTCTGCCCCACCTGCAGCTGAACCTTTTTGATCTATCTCTTTGTTTCCTTAAGGGACATTGAGGGTGAGGAGATAAGGGGATCCTGGTTTCAGACACCAAAGAGCTTTTGTTTGTGTTTTTTAACAGAACTGAATATATTTAAATTTTCCCTCTTGACTCCAAACATATTTCTAAGATTATACTTTCCTGATTCCATATTTTGTAAATCTAGAAGGTCCATGAAAACCTACAGGGAACATTGTTTTCCCCTCTAGGTGTGATCACCATAATAGAAAAACTACCATAGCAGATCATTTAGTTCATCACCGAATATCTATTGAACTCCTACTGTGTACTCAGCTCCTGAGTACACAGTAGGTGCTCAATAAATGCATTTGGCTGCTAACCAAAAGGCTGGAGGTTTGAACCCACCCAGTGGCTCTGCAGGAGAAAGACCTGGCAATCTGCTCCCATAAAGACTATAGCCTAGAATACTCCATAGGGTAGTTCTACTCTGTCGCATGGGGTTGCTATGAGTCAGAATCAACTCGATGGCATCTAACAACCACACTATGTACTCACCAGTATGGCAGAAGCTCAGAAGGCTACTAACCCTGAGAGAAAAACAGAAACCACCGTATATTCAGTACCTACTGTATACCAGGTTCTGTGATGCGCTTTAATTGCTCATATAATTATCAGTAGTCTAGAAAGTAGGTGTCACTATCCCATTTCACAGGTGAGGAAATAAATTCAGGAAGTTCCATAACTTGTCCAAGGTCATTTGTAGCATTGGGAGCCAGAATTCCAGTCTAGTCCTGTCTGACTGTAAGATCTGGGTCCTTTCCACTAGAATACAGTGGGAAGAAAAAAGGGCACCCGTGGAATAGTTAGCTCAAGGCAGCAGATTAGAAAGCCTGCGCTGTGAGGTGTAAGAGCAGGTGGGTATCACAGAACGAGGGCCTGTTAGTCAGGACTTCCTGAAGGAGGCAGCCTAGGGCTGTGCTGTGATGCTGACCCTGAGTAGGAGAACTAGAGCTAAAAAGGAGGTGAAACCTTAGGTCCTGAGGTCAGTTGGGTGGGGCCCCAGCCTGACAGCTGGGGAGCTCTGTAGAGCTGTCTAGACCAGATGAGAGAGGCAGCCGGGAGCCATTAGTTTGAGTCAGGGAGGGATGGCAGCAACACCCAGGGAGGGTGACTCCTGCATCTTTGGCTGGAAGGGGTGGTGGGACATGGTCTGGAGATGGCAGGGACCTCAGGTGAGGTCTAACAAAGGGGAGCCTAGTATCAGGCCAGGGTGGAGGGTTGAAAGAGACAGGTTAGCAAGATAGAACCTTCAGGCTTTGATGGAGGATGTCTTGGGGAACAAAGAACAGGGACGGGCATATTCAATTATATGACTGCTTTGAAACTTCCCTTGGGTCACATCACATAACTACTTCCTATTGCCTGCTGGATGGAGTCCAAATTCCTCATCCTGTCATTTAAGGAACCTCCCAATCTGGCCTCAATCTACCTTTTTGGGATCCTTGCCCACTACTCTCCTAAATAAATCCTCTGCTCCAAAGGAGTGACTCATTCTCCTCACAGTCTCCAAGGCTGCCCACTCCTCTTCACCGACCCCCACCCCCAAGCCTCCCTGAGAGCCCACCAGCCAGCTGAGCCCTTACTGCAAACGTGGCCTTCAGCACTTGGCAGTGAGTCACCTTTGCTATCTTCCAGCAGTCTGGCATAATTAACATTTTATTGTTCTTTAACTTTTTGCTGTAGGTATCTCATCTCCCTAATGAGATGTCCTCGAGGGTTGATCTTTTTACAGTAGTCGTCTCAATTGAGAAAGTCATATGTCTTTCTGATTTAGTTTCCTCATCTGCAAAATGGAGCCAAGAACGTCTCATGTGGCACGGTGTCTGGCACACGCATCTCATCTGTTAGTGAACCTTTTCCTCTAGCGTGGGGCTGCAGCCCCAAGGGTCGAGATAAGCAGCTGAGAGAAGGGGGTGCCCCAGGACGGAGGAAAAGGAGAGGACTCCATATCTTTGCAGGGATCCACCAGAAGGGCCCTCCTTTATCTAGTTGGATCTCCTCATTTCTAAGGGCCATTACCATCACACTAAGATCGGTTAGAAACAGCGCGCCTTTAAAAAGCCACAGTCGGATTTCTTAAGCAAATGAGGGAATCTTGAGTTACAAATTCAGGACGGGCTCCTTGGGGACAGGCAACCCCCTCCCGGGCTGGTATCACCGCGGCACGTGCTGGGCAGCCCTTTTCACCTACTACATCTTGCAGACCCCGAGAGTTCCCCTCTCATCACCTCCACTAGGCACGAGAGGACACCGAGGCTCTGGGAAGCAACGGGACTTGCTCGAAGTCACACAGTATGCTGGCGCTGAAAGGCCCTGGGCTGCACAGAGCTGCCGGGGGTGGGGCTGGGGGACAAGTCCTTCAAGTGAGAGAAACGAGACCCGGGTTCCAAGGGGACGCTCGCTCGGCCTCTGGAGCCTGGGGACGCGCGTGGGGACGCGGAGCGATGCGCTCCAGCTGCACAGACCGCACCTCCCTCCCAGCCTGGGGGGTAACCAGCTCTCGGCGCATCCCCCCAGCGCGCGCGCTCTGGATTTCGCCAGCCGGTTCGGAGGAGCGAGCTCCCCGGGCCTGTCGCGCGCACGCGTCCCACACGCGCCACGCGCTGCCTTCCGCGCGCTCCCGGGTCCACCGAGCGCACGCGCCCCTCCCTGCCGCGCCCGCGCCTCGCACAGCCTCCCGCGCGTTCCCGGGCCCACCGCGCGTCTCTGGCTCTCCGCCCCTCCCACCGCACCCCGCCCCCAGCAGGGTACCCTCGCCGGACCCGAGAGAGAGCGGCGCCGCCATCTTAGTTGCTGCCGCTGCCTCAGGCGAAGCGCTTCCTCCGCGGAGGAGGGAGGGCGCCCGTGGCCCGAGCGCGCGGCCCAGCGTCACGGCGTCGGCGGCTCCTGCTCGGACCTCAGTGATTGCTGCGGCGCCAAGCAGCGGGCCTTGGGCTGCGAGAGCCCCGCTCGGCGCCCCGCTCGCGTCCCTGCC